TATTTGGTTGTCCATATACCTAGTGGGAAAGTCAACGAACTGGTGCAAAGGCACTTGGAGAGTCAGTTCAAGGAAGTCTGCACCGAATGCTCCTAATGCCGAATTGCAAGAAAGATCGGCTCAACAGACTTCCGGGAGGTTGAAATCCCCTAGAACCAAACATTTATTCGCAGACTGAGTGCGAATAAAGTCAAGTATCCCCCTGGAAGAACTTCCAGGACTTCTGTATATCACTATAACTGTAAACTGGGTAGAGGAAGTGCACAAAACAGACGATAGGGCTTCAACAGTCTGATCCAACGACGAAGATGCAGGTCCTCAACACATCTAAGTTACAGCTCACATACGGTACAACGCCTCCGCCTTGGCGACCAACGGTGCGATCAGTTCTAAGCAGCGCGTAGCCAGGTAGACACACCTCACCGTCCGTGATATCCGGAGACAAGCACGGTTCAGTGAAAGCAAGTATGTCGGGACGAGATTTGTCTACAAGTAGACCCAACTCGTGCACCTTGTTCCTTAGGCTACGCACGTTGCTAAGTACTACCTCAAGGAAGTCGGCACGACCATCCATGGGTCGTGCGCCATCAGGATGGGTTCTGCTATCAGAAAGTAACTTCCGGCTGACCACCTGAAAACTCACCAGATGGAGGCCTTGCTCACCAGCCGCCCGTCTAGTTTTGAGGTCTTTGATAGCCTCCTTTAACTTCAGTCTATCTGCCAGTGGTAGGTCGGGCTGAATGCTGACACCACTACCCTTAAGTTTGAACGCAAACCGCAGTAATGATTTGTGTTCCTCCGGGGTATAAAGGACTACGCGAAGTAGTCGGGGTCGTGGATTTGGCGTAGCGATAGGGACGTTCCCCAATCTGGTCAGCTTTCTGACAGTGACACCAGGGAAGACAGGTGGAAGCAGTTTGCTGACACAGTTTTAGCCACTTGATGTCATCCAAGATGCGTTCCCCTGGGAGAGCGGCCGCAGATTCAGTAACGTTACGAAATATAACGCTACTATCCGTGAAAGAGTCGGCAAGACGGGGAGTGTTTACCCCACATGCCTTGGAGTCGACACCTATACCAGCTGTTTTCACCACTGGCGGTGGGACTGTCTCTGTCTTCACAAACGACGCCGAAGCAACGGTAGCGTAGGTTTTCCGCTCTATTGTCGGCGTCTTACTAGTTCCTGGGTCTTCAAGCCCCTTCAAAGTTTTACGAGCAGATCTAGTCCGTTTCTTCTTTTGGTTCACTGCAGTAGGGGCCTTTGACTTTGTATCACATTGAGCAGTTACCAGCACTTCGTCAGAACGAGCTGGTTCATTGGCGGCCGAGACGGTCAGCATATTCGGAAAGTTCTGTGTACAATCGTCAGACGATTTTATGACTGTCAAAGACGGCATCTTTTTTGATGTCGTAGCAACTAATTCTCTGGGCTTAGCAGAGAGCTTTTGGTATTTCCGCACCCTATTTTTCTTCACTTTGATCGGCTCATGAGGACAGCCAGCAATGCTACCTGGATTGGCCGGTAGGATGTGCGACTTTATGACCGAGTGACAGACTCCAGTGGATGGATCGTCAGCAATGTTGTCGTCTATTGCAGTGTCTTCAAACGAAATATTCAGGGATTTTAAAATCAAATCCATTTTCGTATCGAGCGACGCAATAGAGGCGAGTTTAGCTATCGCCTCCTCAACATCTGCCAATCTTGAAGCCAGCGCTGAAAGTTTAGCACCGGTGACAGCCGGGCGCGTCGACCTTTGAGCGCAGCATTCAGCACAGTTGAAAAGAAAGTGAACGCTTGATGATAGCATTTTGTAATGGTCAGCTTGTAGGCCGGTACAGCTTTCGTGATACCAGCGGCAGTAGACGTCACACTGCATACCGCCAGATACATCTGTTACTGGCACTGAACAGTTAACCTGTCCGCAAGCTGCAGTAGACTTATCAAACGAGGACCCCATAGGTCCATCCGTCTGTGTTTAGCGAGACAGCAATGTTCATGTGGAAAACAGAGTAGAATTACAACACCTTGTTGTAATTCTACTACCGCAATAAAAAGGCAAAAACAGGGTGCAAAACGGGATTAAAACTGGGAACAACCGGAAAAATTACCAGTAAGCGCCAAAGACGCTTTGGCCAGTACCACTTTAATCGATCCAAGATATCTTGGATCAGAGAAATTTGACAATAGTCAAATTTCGTTTCAAGTGTTTATTCAAACACCTCGGCAAAAGATATGGGGAACCACTAACCTTGGCAGCTGACCTACCAATTCTAGAAGTCGGTCAGTAGAGACCTATAAATACAGCCAAGGTCCGCAGTCGTTGTACAGTGTTCGTTGGCGGCGATTAATACGTTATTTTATCAAGGACGTTGGTGTTTTGCTTTTTTCCTTCAATTGGGCTAGAAGTTTTGTGGAGCAGTGAATTGTTATTTTCGGAGTTGCGTCTAGTGAGAAGATTATAACTGATCATTTATCGGTGGTCACGATGGCGGGACAACCGTATTGAGCTACCCAGCGCTACAAAAAAGCTTTCGCTACCGTTTCCGGAGAGCAGTTAGGTATGGGAATAGCTTCCGATCACCTAGCGAATCCATCGACACAGGTCAGTAGATCTACAGAGCATTTCGAAGGCGGAAGAGGACCTACGAGGTCGACGTGCACGTGGTGAAAATGTGCATCTGGCGTGGGAAATGTGCCTGCTGGGTATTTCGTACGCTAATGCCCTTCCGTGCGTCGACACGGAAGGCTAGCAGCTGCCCAAGTACGAACATTACGATTGACATTGCGTCAGAAGAACCATGTGGTTAGGAGGCTAACCGATGCACGAACGCCTGGATGAGACAAGACGGTCTACCGAAACTCGCGTGGGACGAATGGGGGCGGCGTGTCCAGAGATGAATCGCAAAGTATATTTCTGTCTGATGATGTTAGCAGATCCAGTAAGGGAGACTTGCGTATTATGGCAATGAGGTGAGCTGCGGCCATGGCTGTCAAGTCGATAGCGGTGCCGGCGTCAGCGGAGATCGCTTGAAGTAGGAAAAGTGCGTCGGCGACAGTGTTGTGCAGACCTGAGACATGTGCTATGTCGGTCGTAAACTGAGCGATATAGTCTAGGTAGCGCGACTCTCTAGGGGAGTATCGGTCGGTAGTTGAGCTAAGCACGTAAGTCAGGGGTTTGTGGTCGCTGAAGACGGCAAAG